AAAATAAAATATAGGTATAAGAATAAAATAAAAAAATGTTTATAACTTGGAAAGGAAGCGTTTCCGAATCTATGTTTATATGACTTTTTTTTCATCCTTACAATGAGTGAAATATGCTCTTAAAGTTTGGTCAACTATTTCTGAAACATCCTGTATATATAGGCCATTCCACGCTAAATCGACGGCATTCGTCACCGACCTGTGCAGACTTTTTTACTGATTTTTTAATATAATATATTCCTTATATTAAAATATGTATTCAGTTATTTTTTTAGATTTTTATCTCCATTTTATCTTTAGTTTCTTAGATACAAATTTTTTAATATTTTCAATTTATTTTATTTCGTAAACGATTAGTTAAACATAACTCCTGTTTACAGTATTGAAAAACAAAAAATAACCACATTAAATTGTTTATCTTGAAATTCTCTATTAGAAAAAAATATGAAAAAAAATTCAAGTTTTTGTTTCTACTCGAGAAATCTGATTAAAGTAAATAAAATCGATCTTCGTCAAGATCAACATTTTTTATTAAAAATTCTTAGTAGAAATGCAAAGAACAACTTAAGCCGTATTTGATTAAATCAAAATTTTCGTTCCATTTTTTTTTAATTTTTCAAAATATTAAATCTATTATTTAATGTTAGTAGATTTTTAATCTGCTGACGAGTTACACAAATCAAATACTTCAATTTGACGATAAAAAAGAATATATATTAAAAAATAAAATTATAAATGAGTTTATTTTTTCACATTAATCAAGCTATATTTCTTAAAACGTATATCGTAGAGCTAAATGAATTGTTGCATCGTGTTCAGCGACAAAAAAAAACATACAGTGCCACATTTAAAATCTGGATTAAATCATTTTTGATCATGAAATCAAACATATATTAAGAAATTTTGATTTAAGAATCGTTCACTAGGGATCTCTAAATCTTAATATTTATTAATAAAAATTTAAGGGCGTTCTTTTGGCATAAAATGGAAGCTTTTGAGCTGAGGTCGATTAAAAAAAATTTTTTTTTCTTGTCAGTCTAGTATATGTATAT